TGTGTTCATCACCCAGCCAACCAGGGAATGCTTGCCTGCATTAATCCGAGTGTGCTGAAGCAACATTAGCACAAAAAATTAGCTCAAACAAATTAATTTACATCCATAAAGGAATAAGTATAAGTCAGACATCTTGTTGTGCATTTTCACCATGATTTTAGCTGGGAAAGCATTAGCCTCCCAAGCAGATGTTCTTAGGAGTTTGGCAGAGGATTGCGTGACAAGCCGAAAGAACATCTGCGCGGAAGGCTATGAAAGCATTAAAGTTGCTGACGTTAGAATGAATAGGAAGTAGTAATGTACAAATGGATTAATGTAAATGTTTTTAATAACTGTAGACAAAATGGTATTTTCTGATGCAAGACAAGTTTTAAAGTAACAGAGGACTGTTCCATGCACAACCATCATTTCTGTGATGGAAAGATGAAGTGAAACAACTGTCAAGAATAGGATTATTTTCTGGACAAACACATTTAGACATTATTTGACATACAGCTGTATAAATCTATAGTGCACTTACCTACAATGCAACTCTTGAGCTCAAATTGTTCAAATTGATTTCATTGCAGAAGTAAAAACTTAATCATTTAATGTCAGTGTCTACAGGGATCCTTACCTTTCGAAAAAAGACACCTGTGTAAGGGAAAAGAATGGCAGCAATAAGTTATTTCTATGGTTTATTAATCAATAATTATGCTTGTTTGCATGTACATGTAAAAACCTGTAAAAACCAATGTGAAAATAAATATTCTTAAATAAGTAAATAAAGTACATAATTTTGTGTCATAAAATTTGAAAAGGACTGCAAAGACAACACTAGTTCGATTACTGGCTCTAGCACCACCACTTTGTGTTTTGATTCCATAGCCTGCATGCAGACGCTTATAATTCCCATCTCCTATGCTGCTCATGGAAAAGGAAACAAAGCAAAAAAGAAAATAGGAGACATCTGCACACAGGCTATTGACACTCCAGTTTGATTGCTTTGTCATTCCCAAGTGGAGCAATGATAAAAGCAAAGCTGTGATTGGAGGAGTCACCATTCCGTGAGCTTAAAGCAAATCACTTCCAGAAAAATGGAAACTGAAATCTGATTGGCTAAATGTGGGGAAAGGAATGTGATTGGTTCTTAGCAGTCATTTGTGAGGAGTATTGTGTGATGACACAGCTAGATTGTTGTAATCCAGAACCAGCTCCTCCCCTGGGGGGATTTACTTAAGGGATGTTTGGGTAGGGATGTGCCACTGGGACCCTGGAAACCTTATAGCCTGTACCAGACCTAATTTGGCTGAAGTTCTCTAGCTCTAAGCTAGACTAAACTCCCAAACAAAATCTCTCCCTTTTCTACGGTCGCTATTTTCCAGAAATTACTGCGGTCAAGGTTTTTTTGGCTATTCAACTGAGTTGTGGCTAAATTAAGATTTTTTGGCAATTTCATTTTTTGTGTGTCAATTCCCAAGTTCCCTTGTCTAGACTGAAATCTTCAACCAATTAATCAGTTTCCTGGAAAATGATATCCTATTCTGATCTGACGCCATATCACAGACAGCCGCACATACCTACATATCCCATATATGACAAAACCCTCCCCCACGGGCCTTTCTCAGAAAGATGTACCAGATCATTCTTCACCCCATCTCTTCACTTCTCTAACAAGTCACATGTTTCCATAACTAATTAACTATAGGCTAAATGATGAGTGAGAAGTTCAGAAAAACTTCTCTTGCCATTTTAATACTGAACCTACAATGTACACTGCAATGTCCTGTAACTCAGGAGTCTCCCTTTCAAGACTAAATTTTTTTAGAGGACCTTTGGATTTCTTGTAAACAAGCTTCATGCAGGGTGCAGTTCGAAACAAGCTAGATGCATCCCTATGGACAAATGAGCATACCTTGAACTTTCCCGAATACTTCAAAGTCCACAGAACGCAAACCCTTGCCGGCCATGTTTGTTGACAGGCAACGATTATGACAACGACTTCATATAATATATCACAGAATATCACCCTAGATTCGTCCCCAGTGCGCTGTGTACGAAAACTGAATGCCTGTAACTTAATC